CTTACTTCATCCTTTGTTTTCCAAACTTTTGTTTTTAATCATCAGTTCACTCCTTATTTTCTGATAATGCTACATTTTTCACTGTTATCATTTTTTCAAGTATTCGTCTCTTGAGTTTTGGTAATAGAGAAGAGTAATAAACGTTTATTAAAGCAAAATGCTATAATAATAACGCATCAGTATTAAGTATTATTGATGTTGTTCTCCCCCTTTTTTTCCCAATTGAAGATATCACAAGTATGGAGAAAGTATATTCAATACAGGAGAGATTTACGAAATAACAAATATATACAATTTTTTTTTTTGCTCACGAACCAAACATTTAGTGTCATTTTTCTATAAGATGATATACTTCGTAATAGTCATTTATTGACCTACTGTGATCTCTCGCTCATCACCATGTGAAGTGACGATACGTTATTTTTCCGTGAAGTACTAGGCTATAGCTATATTCTTTCTATCTTTCCAGAATCTCGTTAATTTCTAGAATCCACCAGGATTTCATGACTTTCGGACTTGCTTTCACAAAGAATTCCATTTTTCAGACGTTCCCACTATAGTGTATTAATTCCAATTAATAGAGATCAGTTTTATCACACAGCCCTTTTCGTCTCCCATTAGTGTTGTTCGTGGGCTTTACCTTTTTTCATTCCACATCTACTGCTAATGGTTCAAAGTGTCTTTTCTGTACACTAAATGCTCACGGACTTTAGTAAATGTCATTACATGAACTGGCTCAGGAAGAAATGCTAAAACTACGAACATGTAATGTTGAAAACATCTTTCAAAGGTTACAAAGGTGATTGGTATTTTTGTAAGAACCCTTCCAAAATGATTAAACGTAAGACTATAAAACAGTTTTATGATGTCCTAATTTCATCACCAAAAGTAACAGTCCATATAAAATGTGTTTTACGGTACAAATTTGTATTACATGTTCAGTAAAGCTTATCGCACTGTAATTGCTAGAAAATCTCTCTCTCTCTTGAAAAGCATATATTAACAAAGTGCTACATATTAAGTATTTTTATGTCATCCACATATATTAACTTTTTTAAAGCATTTGAAAAACAAGGACATCAAGGCTGCTTTATTGTATAAAATCAAAAAAAAATTCTATTTTTTTTATCCATGCAGCCGTACCACTGCAGAATCAATGTAACAAACCAGGTATAGGATAACAAAACGTAGTCTTGAATTACAATGTAAAAGTAGATATTGGTTTAATGCTCAGGTTCACTTGTCTTCTGCGTATAAAACTATAAATCAATGCTCAGTTTCTCAACGAGGATTGTCTGAAAACTATATAACATTTCACAAAGAACGTGGAACTTTTCAACAAAACAATCAAAGTTTTTTCTTTGAGGGAGGGTGAATATTGTACAACACTCTTTGAGATATATTCAGAATAAAAAGGTTGATTTTTCTTTGTCTGTTAATCTTGTGGGTTTCATCGTTATCTTCTAGCTACAGCTCTTCTTTGTTTTCTTACATTTATTTAAATAAGTAATTAAAAACTCATAGAAATTAGTAAGCAAAAGCTGCTTATGGGGGTTAAAAGATGTTACTACAAAATATACTCAAATAAGAGCAGTAATTATTGGGACGACATTTGAGTTAATATCATGCATTAATGGTACATAAATGAAGCCAAAGGGAAACAGACTGTTCCATATTATGTTTGAGCTGATCTTGTAACATGTATATTTCATACATTCCAATCATACCATTAGAAATTCTTTCCCCAATTTCACTTCCTCGGAAGAAAATTTGAAAATACATTATTAGAAATGATTATTTACAGATCCTTATTTCCGACTACAAGTTAATATATAATTAACCCTCATCAAACTTTGACGTCGCTTCATCTTGAAAAGAGTTGGCAACGTCTGCTCCACCATACCAGATAACATCGAATTTTTGGCTTCATCAAAGGTTCTAGACATAAGACCTCTAGTGGTTCTCTTTTTAATATTAACTTAAATAAATAAGTATTTGGTATTTTCAATCTAAACTGCACTTTATGCAGCAAATAGGCGAAACGGCTAGTTCAGAGATGTTAAGATTCACGCATAGCCATCTCTAATATAGAACTGCTGACGAGAGGGTAGACAGTCAGTCAGCATCAAAACCGCCGACACAGAAATCCTTAACCAATTAAAAGTATTGATTGTCGTATTATAATAGCGCCCCCACACCTGAAAGTGAGGAGCATGTTCGCGGGCTTAAGGTGCCTCAAGCCTTGTATCTTCCCTTCTGCATCCAAGGGCTTAAGTATCTCGAATCTTGGATCATCCGATCTGCATTCCGTCATGCTAACCACGAGGCCACATTTGGCCTAAATAAATAAAAAAGAAATTTGAGATAGAGCACAAAGTAAACCACTATATAGCGCTTATATGTATGTAAGTAAGTTATATTCCAATCTTTCATTAATATTATTTCATTGGTTAGAGTGTTCAATATACATATGTATTAAATGTTTATTATTGTTATGTATTTTTATGATTATATAATATTATAAAGATTATTTTACATTGTTAGCTTAGTATATAGAAATTTAGATCTAACCCGTGTCTCTGGTCAAACGTCTTGAGATATTATTATTGAGATACGGCTGAAAACAATGATGGTACACAACTGATGAAACAATGCATACTAATCTTTATAAGCAAAAAAATTATATTAGATTAGCTACATTCATGACTGAGCTGGTTTTTAGTTTTAGGGATATATATATACAGATAGCTTGCTTTGATCAGAAGGTAATGTTTATTTGTTTTCAAAAACTTCATATTTTATTCACCACGTTTCTTCCACAAAAATGTAGTTTATTTCTAACATAAAAATGTATAACGTTTCTTTTCCGCTATTAGAAAAAAAACAAAATGCCCCAAGGAAATAAGGACTTTCAGTTTTCCATCTGTCAATATGTATGTTAATCTGATGGATGATGTATCTCATCAATGCACATATAACATACATGTATTGTAATCTGATGGATGATGCATCCCATCAATATGGATGTTATATGTGCGTATGTTAATCTGACGGATGATGCATCCCATCAATATGGATGTTATATGTGCGTATGTTAATCTGACGGATGGTGTATCTCCATCAATATGTATATTATATGTGCGTATGTTAATCTGATGGATGGTGTATCCCCATCAATATGTATGTTATATGTGCGTATGTTAATCTGACGGATGGTGTATCCCCATCAATATGTATGTTATATGTGCGTATGTTAATCTGACGGATGGTGTATTCCCATCACTATATGGGCCATCGTTCAACTGCAGTTAGCTCTCTTACTAAGATGTTTAGCATTCCTTATTATAATTTACATCCTATATTATTTGTCTGTCTTATATATACCACGTTTTTCGGTTTAGGCCTAGTTATTAGGAGATATTTCATGAATTCGATGTTACATGAAGTATTCCATTATTTTCAGAATATGATAATCATTTAGATAACATCTACTTATGCGTGATATATTTTCATCTTATACAGCGTGGTTAAATAATTATTAAACCCCTAGAATTTAAATGTTGCTGAAACAAACACACACCAAACTCCAAACTTTCTATGAAGTCTAATAAATCACTCAAAATAACAGGAAATATACGAGAATGTTCAGCTTATTTCTGGAACAAAACAAAAATTCCATTTTTGCTGAAAACAGTTTTTCTATGAATGTATCGTGACATCTTCTTAATATACGTTTATAGCTCTTAATATAATGGCAGGGATAGAAGATAAAATGCATGATTATGAATGTTATCATTTCAACCATCATATTTTTCTTTTTACGTTAGACTAGACAAGTTTTCGTGATTCTGAGTTATCAGAATTTTTATTATTATCATTATTTATCGAACTTCACCCTCAAAGACCTTACTCCTTATCAGTTACCAGGAGTGAACTGAGGAGAAAAATCCAAGGAAGTTTTCTCTCCATGTTATTGGTAGTTAAATAATATTTTCCACGTGGGAAAACCTGATGATTTTTCTCTAGTCTTTGAAAAGTACCTAAAACAACAGCGTTTTTATATTTTATCAAAAGCTAAAAAGGTACACTGAAACATCTGCAGATAGTTACTTAAATTATGACCTAAAGCTTCTGAGTAACAAAACAAAACGTGAAAGAGAAAATCTTGTATCTAATATAAGTAGCGGAAAAACAAATAAAGATATTTTGCGTTGTAAATTACTCTTCATCATTGGAAAGTGGAGTAATTAATCATTAATCTATAAAACAAAATTATCATGGGTAACAAATCATTTCTTGATCAGTTATTCTTACCATTAAGTGAAATACAATGCGAAAATATGTGTACATAAAGATAATTACAGAAGTAGAAAACAAAACAAAAAACATTTCACTCAAGGCTTACGATGCAAAACTTCTGGGTTCGATACGTACAATGGACACAGCGTAAATAGTCTAAGGTTCAACTTTGTGCACAAAGCAAACAAAACAAATTTTTATCTAAAGTGAAATGTCAAAATGACCTAGTAAATATAAATTATATATTTTGATCTAAAGATTCACTATTTTTTTACCGAAGAATTGAAACTATCAGAATGGCCAATACAGAAATGCAATATCAGTTAAAACACATTTGTAAATTAAATGTATGTGTTTCTATTAACTGCACACGTAAGTGAAGTTACATTTCTTGCTTAACACTTATTGCAAGTTTGCTTCAAGTAGTAAAACACTGAATGATAACTTACAATAGTATTTAGAAGGGACACGCGTGTAACACAAAATGATAACTTACAGTAATATTGAGTGGGGACACATATGTAACACCAAATGAGACTTACATCAAACACAGAGCAGCAATTTATACTTCATGTCAATGGCTGTTATTTACTCTTTTATACTTGGTCTATATGGACGTAAACATATCAGTAAAATGTTTCTTAAAGTTAAAGAAAGATTATAATTGTTGGTCTTCAAACACATTAATTTTCCACACCTACCTTGAGAAGAGTTGCTATACTCTGAAGACATGAACTGGGTAACAAGTGTACTTTTCCCAACACCTACGTCACCTAACATTAGAATTTTATACGGAGAAGCCCAACTGGAAGAGCCGGAGGTGCCCGTAGAAGCACACGACTGGCAATTAAGGCTAGTGGTGGAGGCAACGCTTAGGTTGCTGCGAGACCGATGTTTCAGCAGATCTCCACGATTAATCACATTACCCTTTGAAGTAATCGTGAAGTTTCTCAGCCTGTATGTGTCGTCTTCTTGGTGATCTAAAGGTGAGAAATTAGGACTAAGGCTTCGCTCTCTGGTTCCAGCGAGAAATCTCTGTCTCCGACGCTCTCGAAATTGATGGAAACTGTCCGTTGGCATTGTGGCTCCACGACGGCGAAACCCATTCTCTTCCTCTGTTTGAGGCTGTGTGTTACGGAAAGACAGAGACCTATCGTGGCGTGAGGCGAACTGAAAAGAGTGGTCATTCAGGACATTTGAGTCCACTGCCTTTCTTGGTAAAGTTTCAGGTGATGTGGGAAAATCTTCAGGAATGTCGTCTTCATGAAAGTGAATGTGATAGTCTGTTCTGTACGAAGCAGTAGCATCAGGGTTAGTTAACAATCCCATGTTGTTTGCCCTTGCATCGTGATTGGGAGCTACACTTCGGAGAATGGAAGTCTCATGGCTGGTCGGACTATTGGAGGAGAGGGATTTTTCTGGGGCCAGAACTGGAAATAATAATAAAGCTTCTGGAGAACTAGCTGGAATAGAAGCTGAACGTTTCCGTCCAAATATTTTAGGATCCTTTCTAGCTTGTGAAGTTCCAGGTTTATTCATTGCTAATTTTTAGTTGAAATTAGACAAGGAATATCTTAACTTCTATGCAAAGTCCGTATACAACTTCGGTTACTTGCGGGTGTGTCTGTCCTGAAAAGCTGGCAGAAGTAGGATGGGATAAAATTTAGCTTTTCTTAGCTCTATCTTGTCGTCCTCCACATCCAACGGCGTATACGTTAACTACTCACACTTATTTATTTAAAGCTGTCATTACTTCAAGAGTTGAAGCTTTTAGCAGCAATTTTGCCTCATTCGTTCCAATTGGAAATGTAAAAAAATTTGCTTTCGGTGTGAAAGTAAAAGCTAAATATTTTAATAAGAAATTCTTGTTAAAATCATCTCTTACTTGTTCAACAAAGAGCTTTAAGCGTCAGGAAATTTAATCAATTTTATGTTTAGTAGAGGTTAAATTAGAAACTGATTATTCTGAAAATATAAAAATAAGGGATTTTTTTTATTTTTGACTGAAATTCTATAGATGCTTTTAAACCTACAACGCGCAAATAAACAGACTTCCTATCCTGAAAAGCGGCAGTCGGTATGTGTCACCGCTCCCAGTGTTCCCGCCAGAAACATAGAATGCGCAGTCTCAGAATGTATTGATGGTCGTTGAGTGAGAAAACCTTTCGATGGACAGGTCGGCAGTTGTTTGCAAGCCGTAACCAGTAAAATTCATGCAAACACTTCTTTAAAAAAAAGCTAGGTGGTGCTTACATAGTTTTTGTAACTTTTAAAACATTAGCCATATTTCTTTCGCTTTTGCTCGTTTACATATTGTGTAAATCTCACAACCCGACCAACACTCATGAATTATTACCTACTCTCGATTTGAATATTAGTAAACTTGGCTGACTTGGATGTTTTTTTTGTTGTTTTTTCAGAAGTCACCTTACGCTCCACACTTCTCTACACCTTGGCATTACTAATAAGCAAATATTAAACTCTAAGGAAATTTCAACAAAGCTCATGATCTGCCGTCTTAATAATAATGAACACAAATTTTGTTAAAATACAACAAACAAGAAATTTTCTACTGCAACGTTAGAACCTAACATTTAGACAAGTGGTTTTATTGTTTAGATAAGATATCGCTTCCGGCACCGAGAATAACAATACAGATTAGGCAACAAATGTACGATAAGATGGAAAATTCAATTTAAAATAACTGGCTTTATCCATTATTTATTGACGTCTTTACATTTGGATTTTATAAACGTTTTCCTTTAATTACTTATGTCTGTAGAGTTGACTTTCCATTTACTGAAACCTGAGTAGTGAAGTCGTTGAAATAACTTATTCCTCGTACAATTTGGACTTCATATTGGAGAAAGGAAGCGGCGTCATTCATTGTCGAAATTATATCGAAATATAAATCAATATAATGTTGCTTTACACTCCTGGGAGTGGATAAAGAAATCCACCTTAAACATCGCTAAAGACGTTCGTGATGTTAAGATCTGTAAATTCTAACTAACCCTTTTTTTTTTATAGTTTGCAAGTAAACTGTGTAGCTTTCTTATATATATATATAATACTCTTGGGAACGAAGAAAATTCAGAAATGGAAAGAATTCAGTGCCAGAAGTCTTAATTTCATTGTTTTATATATATGGGTTGAAACCTGGGATTATTTTCATTCTCGAAATATATTTACGATAAATCTAATTTAATTCCTTGTGTACCTACGCTAGATTGAAAAGTTGATTTTTCTTGCTATGTTTCGCATACCTACGTATAATATAAAAATAGAGTATGATAAGTACTCTTTACTTACATTAGTTTTAATAAATACTATTTACCTATATTAGTTTTAATAAATACTATTTACTTATATCAGTTTTAAAGCTTTAGGCGGTTTTATTGCACCATTTCTTCTTTCAACAAAATGGCGTAGCGCATGACGTCATTAGACTTACTATATGTTTGAAAACTGTCTTTCAGGCTAACGGTTACTTGGGTCATACGTAATGGCGTGGTAAATAGCTATGTTACGTAATGGTATTTATTGTATTATAAATCATTAATTCATAAAAAAAATTATATCTTAAAATCCCATAATTTAACAGCCTTTCTACTCACACACCAGAGAAGTTTCAAACATAATAGGTTAAAACTACTTCATTAAAACCAAAGGTTAATAACCTGCCATACGTTTTGACACAGTCTAATGTCTTTCTCAGTGGTTACATAACTTTTATGGTATGTGTTTCAAAAGTTTATGTTACAGATATAACGACTTTGTATGCGTTATTAATTTTTATTTATCAAAGGTAAGCGGTTGCGTTACAGCAGTATATCAACTACTTAAAAAAAAACATGAGTGAAATTAAATCGATTTCAGAGTATAATAAAACCATTCATGAGTGGATATGAGCGACATAATATTATATATACCTTTGCCGCCTGTTAGTTAGTGTATTTAATAATTTCGACTTTCTCTCCTACTCATGATAGAGAGAAAACTGAGTTTCAACAATGTGACATTTATTGATGAGATAAATGCGACCTGCAAATACAAATATTTAAGAATTTCGAAGTATAAAGAAAAACGTTGGTACATTTAGAAAAAGGATTGCTGAAAATGCGTTATATTAATCACGTATGGCTGTTTCGATTGAGCTTTTAACACTGAGATATTGACAAGGAAACGTACAAGAGCTTAATTTTAACGCATTTTCGTTATGTGTGGTTTTGAAATGAGATGTATTAAAAAACTGTAGATGTCGCTTTAGTTTCAAAGTTTGGGCGAACAACGTCGTGGAAGTAATATAGAGTGAAGGGTGTCTTATGTAATTAATACTAATTCTATGACGAACAGTGTTAATGAGGTTATACTTCAAATAGAGTAAATGGTGTTCCATGTGATTATGCTACAGTGAACGGTGTACATGATGTGATACTAAAGAAACAACAACAACAAAAAACAGAATGAACTTTGGGTAAGAAGAGTGTTAATGGGTGTGGCTATATTTTAGTGATGCATACAGGATTGTTTCGTAGGTGTTACATAATTATCTATACTCAAAGAGAAAACTAATTATTGTTTAGCTGTGGTTTTAAGTCTTAACAGCTTTATAGTCGCTGTCGGTGAACAACTGCATAAGTGGCAGGGGTTTCGTTAACGTTTGTTGGTTTGTAGTAAAGCACAAAGCTACACAAAGGGCTATCTGTGTTCTGCCCACCACGGATATCAAAACCCGGTTTCTAGCGTTGTAAGTCCGCAGACATACCGCTGTGTCACGGGGGGGGGGGTCGTTAAAGCATTTTGAAATGTACGCACGGGAGCTCTGAGGAATGTTCTACGCCAACGGGGAATTTGTTGCAGGAAAAACTTCATACAGATGTCCCCACGATAGATACATATATAAAGTTATCATGTTTTTTTTTAACATCAGATTCAAAGTTCTTTACAAATCTCAAATTTAATTTCGGCATCTCTTACTCATTTGTATCAATTTCATTTGCGCTGTCTGCATAATGACGAAATGTGAGATTAACGCGTCCGTGCCTTTTCATAATCTGGCACGCACCATTCTCCCCCTTGTGGCTTATAGCCGTTCATTCGTCACAGTGTCTCTTACATACGTCTTCAATTGATGAAGACAGCTAAATGAACGTTCTGTTGAGCAGCACAAAGATAAGTGTGTAAAAGTTTGGATAAAGTACGTGGGTTTCGTCCAGAGCTTTACTTAAATGCACTCAATGTATGCGTTATTTTCAAAATAAAACTTACGCAGGGTGCGTAATGTGCGATAAGGATGCGGATATATATATAGCCATAAAAGACCTTCATAAAAAATAAATATTTAATATTAGCATCATTTATTTCACCTGAGCTTTACAATGTTTGCGTAGAGATAAATGTCTCGAGATTACCTTTATAAATCTGATTAACTTATGGTAATTTGAAACAAGCCAGCTTATACCGGATCTGTCAATGTATGTTCTGACGCTTTTAGCTTTTGATCAACAACTTGATCACATTACAACGTCTCATCGCTGCCTGTGCATCTGACCAAAAATATGAATGTTGATGTCATAAACAAGTGTGGGCCATTCTGACGTAGTTACAACAAAGTTTGCAAAATACTATATGCATATTAATAATGCATTACACTAACATCAACATTATCTCTGGGTACGAAGAAGATTCAGAAATGAAAAGAATTCAGTGCCAGAAATCTTAATTTAATTGGTCTATTTAAATAGGGGACAACAAGTAGATTAGATGTATGCAGTATATTCTTTATTTACTATACAATACGTAGGAAAAATGCATTAATGTTATTCTTTCTCTACATTTAAAACCTTTGGAGTGAGCCTAGTTTATGTTAATTTTCCACCAATTTTATAGAAAGGCTAGATCTAAGCCTTTGATTTCTAAGAATTATTTACGTTGCAGTTTATTTTAACATGAACTTAATATTGGCACAGTTACACGTGTTATGTTGTTCGTTTATGACCCATGAATGCTATTTAAAGAAACATCGTCCACAAAACTTTATAAAAAGCAAGTCATAAATGTTTCATCTCCAAGAAGTACAGCTCCACATGTAGTCTCGTTAAAAACACCCGACGAAACACTAGCGCTTTTGACAGGTGGATCTGCTCTTAAGAAGGATTCCAGATGAACATAGGTACATCTGTCGAAAGTGCTAAGAGTTTAACCTTTTTTATGTGATTTATATATTTTTATTCTACATGTTTTTATTATCATAAACGTATCACGCTTCATAAAATCACACACGAAATATGCCCTTTATTAAAATTACACACAATTCTGTTTATAACGACACCTTAGAAGAAACAGAGAGAGAGAAAAAATAAGAGTTTACAACTGTAAAGATAATTCTTTAGCATGCTTGATGTATGTAGATAAAACTAGTTCACTCATAGACTTGATGTTTTTCCTTTGAAAATGAATCCCACTTATTTACACACTTGCCGGACTAAGTGTCCTAAATCTCTTTCTTCAGGATAAAATTTTATGTTAAAATAGTTTTTAAACAGGGTCGCCATATTCGAGAACTCAATTATAGCCTTCCAATATTTGAAAAATTTGTATTTTCACTTTATATTTCTGGGGTCTTATATATCTGCCTGTTTGTGTATGTCTTGCGGACTCCATTTTAAATTCTCGAGCTGCTTCTGGTTGTGATTTTTTATTTAGAATGACCTGGTGGTCAAAGCGCTCGACTGGCAATTTAAGGGTCGCGAGTTCAAATCCCCATCACACCGAACATGTTCACCCTTTCAGCTTCAGGGCGTTATAATGTAACGGTCAATACCATTATTTGTTGGTAAAAGAGTAGCCCAAGAGTTGGCGGTGGGTGATGTTGATTATTTTCCTTCCCTCTAGTTTATCACTGCTAAATTAGGAACGGATAGCGCAGATATCCCTTATGTAGCTTTGCGCGAAATTAAGAAAACAGACCACACATATATATATATATATAGCAAATTAATACCACAGTTATATCTAGACGGGACTCTCTTACAAGTAGCAACATCAGCAAAATTCT